CGCGTCACCGTGGGCCCCGCGTCACCGTGGGCCCCGCGTCACCGTGGGCCGCGCGTCACCGCGGGCCGCACGGCAGTCACAAGGGAACATGTGTGCTGCGCGGAGGATTATCATTTCTACAACTTGGTTTTAACTGGTCCAAAGCCTCTTCCCAACACACTATTACTTCTACCTTGAGCTATGAGATTTAACAGATAGCCATTTAATTAATGGGACCATGTTTTGAAACTGTGATGTTACAGCGATCTGTGGAACGGAAGGTGACTGTGTCCCCCCGGGAAAGGTGTGGGAGAAACAGCGTCCCGGAACTGGCACAGAAGCGCAGTCTCCTGCTGATGGCACCCATCGGGCTGTGTTTCTCACTCCTGTAAGGTCAGCCTTCTTGGCAGAGTATTGCTGGGACTCGTAGACAAGAGCAGGTGCTCTCTGCTGATAATGACCCAGCGACCAGGTCCTGCCCCAGCTCCTAAGGCCATGGCTAGTCAACAGGGCCATGCTTGCCCAGTGAAGGGCCGGGGATCAGATGGAGGGCAGGCTCAGCGATCATGCCTGGTGTGCCCCAGGACAGGAGCGCACACCACACAGTCACGGTCACGCTGTGCACAGCCGACAGCCACATGCAAGTGCTTACAGTCACTCTGCACAGACCCCGCGGTCACGCTCTGCAGAGCCTACAGGCATGCCCTACGGGGAAAACACACTCGTGTGTATTTTCTTGATTCTAATGATTTATGGATTTTATGATTTTTTTGTTTGTAGGTAACAGAAAATAATGTAAATACAGCGTAAGTTTCTAACACATATTTTCACTTTACTCCTTGAAGGTTAAAGATTTAAAGGTCTTTAGTGTGTCCCAACACTATATCCGCTGTGCTTTTCCTGATATTTTCAACAGAAGATGCGATGACTCTCAAGTATAGATATCTGCTCTAGAAAGGGGGGAGGCTCTGTTCCCTGGACGGAGCCACAGACGCACACAGCCCCTGCGTTCCAGTCAGTGCAAGGCCAGCGATAGAAAGAGGGCTCCGGGACCGGGCAGCGGCATCTCACCATGAAACTGGATTCAAGAATCAGGAGAGCCAGAATCTCTTCTTATTTGGCAAATAGTCTTGAAAATATAAGCGGTAAACAACTTTACACTCATGATCACAAAGGTGGCTCCTGCAGGGTAAGGTTTCTTCTGGAAGAGTCGACGAGCTGACGGAAATTCCATCACTCAGAGCATCTATTTTCGTGAACAGCACTGAATATCCTTTCATGGAAAGGACAAGAACCCAGGAGCCTCCAACTATGTGTCTGAATCCTCTGGAAACCTGATGCTGCGTGAGCATAAAACTGCAGGGCCCATGCCGTGGGTCCTGGGCACGGGGAGCACTAGGATCCAGCCAAGACCCTGGGGAATACGAGGGTGGAGAGGCCGGCCCGCAGGGCGTCCCTGGAAACCTTCCCTCTGAAAGCTAATCTGCTTTAGACCTGCTTCTGGCTTGAAGGAGGCAGGGAGCCTGACATAGCCCCCAAATACCACCTTCCCTGGAACGGGCTATGTGCAGGAGACAACCCCCAGAAACCTCTCGGGACACGGAAGGCTTCCCTTGGCACCGGGGGGGGGGGCAGCGCCCCCTCCCCCCAGCACCCCCGGGTTCCCGTGAGGAGTTTCTAGTTTGTGCCTAATTAACATTCGTTCTTTGAGAGCTGCAAGTTCTCTCTAAACACTAAGCCTCTTCCTTTGCCTCCCTCGGTTTGGATTTGAGTTCCTTCTCATTGAGTTATTATACACACATTACTGTGTTTCAACTCCCTGTGAATATGCATGATCATTTCCTGAAAACCATCACCGTCAATTCAGCCTTGCACAAAGTCAGTGTGGTCTACTTTTCTTTCATTCTCATTTGTCATGAGATGTACTCAAAGCCTTCATTGTCCCTTGGTGAGAGAAAAATCAAGCATACACCGCATGATGGTTGTGAAACACACACGATCCCCAGCATAGACGGTGCTTCCCAAGCCTCATGCATTTCTATGCGGATCTTATCACACAGCAGGCGCTTATTTGTCTTGGAGCTGACGGGAGCTATTTGAGGGTCCCGGCAGGAAATGGTCACTGACCACGAAATCACATCACCCATGTCCCACACGGTACCGACGGTTCAGGCCACAGCAGCACAGGCTTATCACAGAAACGTGCAGACATGTCACCCGGCTCCACCTTCATCTACAGGACTGCAATGGGGGAGCACCTTGGTGGAGGCACCCGTGGACACAAGTGCCTTAGAAGTGCGTCACCGGGGAAGACTGTGTCACCCGGGAGGGTGGGGAGGACCTGTGTCACCGGGGAAGGCCTGTGTCACCCGGGAGGGCCTGCGTCACTGGAGAAGGCCTGTGTCACCCGGGAAGGCCTGTGTCACCCGGGAGGGCCTGCGTCACCCGGGAGGCCCTGTGTCACTGGAGAAGGCCTGTGTCATCAGGGAGGGCCTGTGTCACCCAGGAGGGCCTGTGTCACCCGGGAAGGCCTGTGTCACCCAGGAGGGCCTGTGTCACCCAGGAGGGCCTGTGTCACCCGGGAGGGCCTGTGTCACCCGGGAGGGTCTGTGTCACCCGGGAGGGCCTGTGTCACCCGGGAGGGCCTGTGTCACCCAGGAGGGCCTGTGTCACCCGGGGAAGGCCTGTGTCACCCGGGAAGGCCTGTGTCACCCGGGAAGGCCTGCGTCACCCAGGAGGGGCTGTGTCACCCGGGAGGGCCTGTGTCACCCAGGAAGGCCTGTGTCACCCGGGAGGGCCTGTGTCACCCAGGAGGGCCTGTGTCACCCGGGAAGGCCTGTGTCACCCAGGAGGGGCTGTGTCACCCGGGAAGGCCTGCGTCACCGAGGAAGGCCTGTGTCACCAAGGAAGGCCTGCGTCACGGGAGAAGGACGTCACTCACCTTTACACCTGGGTCTCTCTTGTCCGGTGTTCCACGTACCATTTGCCTGACACTGAAGGAGCCTGCGGCCTTCTAAGAAGTAGCCAGGGCTGCAGCTCAGCAGGACCTGGGCCCCGTACTCATTCATTGACCCCGACACCAGCCTCCAGAGGACGTGGTCTGACAGCTGGGCCTCGATGCTGGGGCAGGGCACCGCTGCAAGAGAAGCAGGTCACAGTGAGACCCCTCGGCTGAAGCCTCCGTCATCAGGGCCCGAGACAGACGCCAGTCCCTACTTATAATCAAAATCTTCCTGCCGTCCCACTGACGGTGAGGCAGAGGCGGACAGGTCAGATGGCACATGAGAGCCGAACCCTGACCCAGAGGCCGGCGGGGCTGGTGCCACCAACCAGGCTGTGCACCGGGAATGGCGCAGATGCACGCGTGGATTTTCTGCATAAACCTCTATCAGCACCAGCGGGGCCCAGTCCCCGAACCCCAGCGCGGACACTAAAGGTTAAAAGTCAGTTGGCCTGCTCCTTTCTTTCTGTGGTGCGTGTGCATGTGCGCACACACAGGGCAGCCATTTGTTTTTGGATTTACAGACATGCAACTCAGGCCTGCAGCCTCGGCCCTGGGGGGAGGAGTCAGTCATGTGCCGGAGCGGACATCTCTCTAGCCTCTGGGGGAAAGGCTGGAGCAGCTGTGCGTGAGGTCTCCGGTGACAGGCACAGGGCGCTCAGAGGCGTGGGGCGGCACAGGTACCGGCAGCACAGGGCACCACTGCCGGTGCCGGGAGACTGAAAGGGAGGTGAACACTTGTGCGTATGTGGCTGATTTCACTGGAGTGTCACAGTCAGAGGCAGAGCCCTTCATTCACCTGCAGCTTGCTCCCTGACATTCACCCCATCTACGAGCTCGGGGCTGGCGAGGCTGGCGGCCTTCGTGAGTCTGGGGAATCAGCCTGGCAGGGTCTTCAGAACGGAACAGAGACGGTTTACACTTAAGTCCCACAGGAGTTCATTACAAGTGAGTCAGACATGTCCAAAATGCTGCTAATATCTCACCCAGAAAATTACCAGGACTCTGCAGATACGCTAAAATGTAACCCTTTTGGTATTATGAATAGTAAAACCAACAACAAAGTAAGATATGTGAACAAAGCTTGTTAAAGTTGGGTACAGCTGCTCATGCCTGTAATACCAGCTATGTGGAGGGGCCGATCAGAAGGATCTCAGCTAAAGCCAACCTAAGAACAATGCCAGTGAGACTTCATTCCAACAGAAAAGCCACGTGTGGTGGCACCCTTCTGCCATCCAAGATGCACGGACAGAGGAAAGAGTTAACAGCCCAGGTGCTCCAGGCAAAGGCATGAGAGCCCATCTGACAAATAACTGCTCTTAGTCGGCCTGGCTCAGGTGTCAGGGTGCGGAGTTCAAATCCCACCACGCAAAGCGGGGAGGAGGGTAATCCTTAATCTGATTTCCTTTTTGTGTTTGAGATGCACCCATTGCTCTAGGTTTATATGGACAGAGAGACGTTTTCCTAATAAAACTCTAAAGCCCGTAGGTCCAGCTCTCAAACTGGACCCTTCATCAACATCCACACCAAGGAGTCTGTGGAAGACAAAAGACACCATTTCCCGGGGCTGTGAGTGCGTCCATGACAACGAGGGCATTGGGCTTGATTTGAGAAGCACTGCTTTTTAAAAGCTTGCTGTGAGTGATTCCAATTTATTCAGGCTCATTCATCCAGCCAGGAACAAACCAGAAAGGCTAACCTGGGAAGGGATCCACGCCACGCGGACCTTAAAGATGCACCCACGAAGCCCGGCGGATCGTCCCTAACTGTCCAATCAGCCCCGGTGAAGGGAACAACTGTCTTTTTGCTGCTGTTGCCTCTTACACACTCAAGGTGGTAAGTGTGTCTCATGATGAATTCGATCTGCACAATTACGATTAGATGCCATCAGCGTGAAATACTGCAATGAGTCTCCTAGCACAGATGTTCAGGGGACCCTGGGTGCCTGGCTGACCGGACGAAGGAGGGGCGCTGGGCCACGCTCCAAGCACCCCAGAGGACAGGAAGAGCGCGGGGCGCAGGGGGGCAAGGCCTGTGGGGTCCTCCGTGGGAGCCATTGGAGCCCTGGACCGGGCCATGCTTCCAGCGGGCCTCCCAGGGCTCCCTACATGAGCGAGCTGGACAGCCACCTGGAGAGGGGCCTGGGCTCTGCTCTCAGCCGCGGGGGGGGGGGAAGGGGCGTTCCCCAGGAATGATGGAAACGTCCGGATGCTAATCTGGAGCACGCCCTGGCTCTGGCTCCGGGTCCACGCAGCCCTCTCCCTCCTTCTCCGCAGTGAGAGGGAGGGGAGACCGTGCAGGCAGGCGGGAAGCCGGACGCGGTGACTGAGAACTCCTCGCGCTGTTACCTGACACGGATGACAACCTATCCCCATGGCTATAGAGTTGCCTGTATCACATTCCCCATCCAGGGCCCCAGGCCCTCAGTCTCTGAAAATGTGAAGGCAGACAAAATCGCTCATCAAAAGCCAACTTTCAGCAGGCAGCTCACACCTGTGATCACAGGAGCTTAGGAATCTGGGATGGAGCACAAGTCAAAGCCAGACCAATAGAAAAATCTGTCAGACTCCATCTCCTACTAATTCACAAAGTAATGGACTGGAGATGTGGTTCCGCTGGTAGAGTGCCAGCCATGAGCAAGAAAGAAGAGTAAGAGTACAAGGCCCCGAGTTCAAGCCCTGGTAACGCACACACGTGCACTTGCACACATGCACACACACGCACGCGCACACACACACACATCAATTTAATTTTCAGGATCTGGACATATACAGAGAATTTTTCAAATGTTGAGAGAAAAGGAAAATGAAGTTGTTGATTGCAAATCCATATTTTAAATAAAAATAACTCATGATGACAAGCAGAGAACTGGAGTCAATCAGAGAAGATCCTTGAATTTTATGTAAGTCATCTGTTAAGAAGACTCACCTTTATGTAAAAACATTCTGAGACTTCTTGAAACATTTTGAAACATGCCAACATTTTTACAGACGCTTTAGTGTCACAACCTTTTCACTTCTGTGTTTGACTAGAATTGTCAATAGTAAACAAATCATGAATACCTCTGCACAGAAAATGGTCACGTGTGTGCATGCATGGTCACGTGTCCAGGTGCCCTCTGAAATTTAGCATTAAAGTTGTCAAAAGTGAAGCCTGCAGGAATTGGAAAGATACTGACAAAGCTGATTGTGCAAAATTGTTAACAGGCAAATCTTCTGAAGTTAATAAAATAGAAATACAAAGGGCTCAAGCAAATAGTTCAGAAAATTTTCAAAAAAACCCCACCATTTTTAAAGTTAAATATTATAAACTGTGCGCTAAAGATACAGTTGGCGATACATTGTTTTCTTATTTTCTTTTTAGCATACTCTATTGTTGTATGGCTAGTGAGTTCCCTTGTACTTACAAGTATATGCAAGTACATACTGGTGCAAAACAAATAAATTCTATTTCCATGCCTTGCTTTTTTGTAAAGCTCCAAAATATAGAGAGTCCCGTGTGATATCTATCTTGTGAATGTGCCAAATTGGTAACACACACCTTGAGCCTTTGTTTTTAATCATATTTAATCTTTCTAAGAGGTGTGGTTTCATGCCCAATACTGTATGTATCACTGGGCTACTTTTCCTCCCTTAAAGCATCTATGTGGGTGATGGGTGGGAGGAACTGCTTCTCTCGGAGGTACTGGCGCGTGCACACGTGCAGTCCGGGGTGAAAGCCCCCTCCATCCTGGCTGCACCACTGACAGCAGCGACCTTTGGAATCTAGCCACGTCTTTGGATCTCTAGATCCCTCGGTAGCCGGTTGTAAGGATTCGAAGGGTTCATGGCCCATATAATCTTAAAGAGTGTCTGGCGTGGTGAAAATTCAACAATGCCACACATACGGCTGTTTTCATAATAGCAGTTTAGTTATTTGCCTAGTGATAAAATAATCTTTATTTGGATATTAAGAAGAAAGCACATCATGTGTTCTCCTTTGAAAGTAGGAATACACAAAGGCAACCATTGAGCACTTTTTAAGCTCCAAGCAAGGAGGTAGCAGACTAAATATACATCTGTAATTATCCATAATTAAATACTTGTAAATGTTCCCAAACATTTTACATGTACTATCATATCACGCCTGCTCAGACACAGAGAGGTTTCATACGTCATGCAGTCTGTGTACATATATCCAGATTAAATAGATACCTACATGCATGCAGGTGTATGTGCTTATTTGTTAGTGTTTTCAACCAATAATAGGTTGAAATATTGGAAACTAAAATGGAGTCGTTCTGTCTTGTTCCCTGAAAAACTACCATATTCTAAGTATTTACACATCATTTGCACCGCAAGTGTGAGGAGATGTGCTCTGGTGCAGGAGTCAAGATCCACAGGTTCTGTGCACGTTTTATAAAGGAGAAGGCTTCCCCGTGGACGTAAGGACCTTGGCACGGACAGGACTCGGTACCCGGGGGCCTGAGCCCAAGGTCCCGAGGGGCCCAGACAGAGTGTGCACGTGTGAAGTGGCCCGTGGCTTTCCTACCTTTGTCTCTCTCTGGGCCCTGGAGAGCGGGTGGTAGATTTTGTCTTGCTTTCCCTCGCTTAGTACTTAATCACACAGAATGTACCTGGTGACTGGCACAGGGTAGGTCCACAGATTTTTAACAACCAAGGCACTACTCTGGCTAATAGCCTCACAGAAAAGCAGAGCCCTCGCACACTAACATTACTGCCCGGACTTAGGTTCTTATTAAGTTAGCTGCATGGTTTGCTTCCTCCTAAAGACACAATGCACGGCTATTTGTCAAACTACTAAAGCCAGTGCATTAATACCAATAGCCCTAGCTTATTTTACTTTGGCACTCACATGAATCTTATCTTCAATGATCCAAAGCCAGTCTTCGTTAACAATTGAAATGAGAAGGAATGAGCCTCAGGCCTCTGCGTGGAGCTTTGTGCCGGTGCAGGAGGATGCAAAGTGAAAGAGTTGTTTATTACAATCTCCATTTTTGCAAACCTGATGATGAGAAGAACTAATTGTATTCTCCATTTTGCCATTTATCAAAGCCGAAGCACTCTTCATCTCCTGAGATTAGCTGTCTTGATCGACACTGTGCTGCATCTGTTAACAAACCTTAAAAATTGCTT